ACTGATGTGACCTGGCAAGTTAAGCCAGGTGTGGGGGGACAACCCTGGACCAATAGTAGGGGCCCAGCAGAACAAATGGGGACTTGATTAAGGTTTCCTGCATTGATTTCTTGGGGCTGTCCAACTTGTAAGCAGCTAAGGCCTCATACTGCATTAGCTGCACCAACAGGAGTTGCACACCCCAAGACAGGCACTACTGTGAGCCACGGGCCCCTGCCTGCCCCTTCCTCTGCATCAAGCACAATGGCACACACATACTGCTGCACTGGATGGCCCCATTTTAGCTCTATCACTGCATTACACTACAGGCTCCCTCGATGTCATAGGCCGTGCCACCCTATGATGACAGAACATAGTAATATTAGAGAACTTCAGAAAAAGCCTATTATGTTGTTGTCTTTATCTTGTTCTTTGCCTTCTTCTTTGCTGCCTTCTTCATCGTCATCTTCTTTATCATCTTCTTTCTCTTCTTTGTCTTCATCTTTGTCGTCTTCATAGTCTTCATTGCCACCTTCATCATCATCTTTGTCTTTGTCTTCTTTATCACCAGGGGTCCTGTTTTTTTTTCTGATTAAAAGTCCCCAATATTTTGTTAAAAAAAAAAAAAAAAAGTAACCCCAAATCCACATTTTTCCCACATGATTAAAACAAAACATCACATACATATACATATATTCATCATGTTTCATTTAAATCACAGAAAAATGTGGGTTTGGGGTTACTTTTTTAACTGAAAATTGGTGATTTTTTAAAATCAAAGAAAACTAGGATCCCTGATCATCACTATCTTTTGAGATGAATAGTTTGACTTACAGAATTGGCAATAGGACATAGGGTGCTGATTCAACCCAGACCTTTGTCTGTTATGTGGATACATCTTACATCTAGAATTTTGTGTGTGTGTGCGCGCGCTCACGCACATATGTATGTGTGCACATGTGCATGCACATGTGTGCTTGTATGTGGGTGTGTGTAACCTGAAGTTGGTAGTCTTGTTATAAATCATGGCTACTGAACTCTTAAGGCTAGATTCTATTGCACCTATTAGAGTTACAAGTGGATTTAGGTGCCAAAGTTCAAATCTGTTTCACTTTGTTGAAGTCCTGAAAATCTATTCTTCCATCTACTTTTGTAACACACTATCATATGATCCATTAAAATGAGTCACAAAAAAGCAGCCAGGAGGAGGAGGCTTATCCACCTTCTGCATCAATAATTTTTCAGGAACTTGAGCAGGATGGAAAAGAATCACACATAGGTACCTAAGTCAACTTATGCAACCAGTAGGTGGACTGGTAGTGTTACAGTGATATTGGCTAGTGAAAGACATTCAAAAAGCCTAAGCCTGAATTGATTCAATCTTTGTAAACTAGTCTAACCTGCCTGTCACAACCCAAGGGTGTGATTTTGTTTGTGTGCGCTTCGGCACTGCTAAATTATTTCCCGCCACTAAGAGCTTTCTTTGCAGGGTGCATTTCTTAGTTGCAAAGAGAAAATGCACGGTCCAATGGAGTTCCTGCCATTCGTATTCAAATTTGTGCCCCACCATTGGCTAGTGCTAAATTATTCCCACGTGGCAGCTAGTGATTGGCTTGCTAGCCGTATAAAAAGCTTGAGTGGTTTCCGCCCAAGTTGGAGGACTCCACGAACACCAGGAGGAGGAGACTTCACGCTGTGTGAAGATCTCTAAGCGCTGCAGAGCCTATCGGACCCAGTGCATTTCAAGCAGGCAACAGGGGTCTGATCAGCCTCTAGCCTCTCCCCATCACCGAGCTCAATCCTTGACG